CAACGAAGCAAATTGGCTATTTAAAAAAAATTTACTTTTATTATAAAATACTAATAAAACACAAGTTAGTTAGTTAGTAGCTTAGCGAGGAGAAAGTATTTTAATCACTACCAAAGATTAAATAGTTAGTTCAAGCATCATAACCATTTCACTGATTTGAAGTGATCATGGTGCCTGGAGTTTGTATGTGCAACGTTTCACTATGAAATAATTCACATACGGAGATTAATCTCTCTGCTGGATTTTATTTCTGTATAATGAATTAATGTTTCTAGACTGATAAATTGTGAGGTTTATCCAGCATGGACTTTGCAGCTGGTAAGGATTCTCCTGAATAAATGTATTTTTGGGTTCATACATTCATCAAAGCCATACAGCATGGCATAGTATAATTTTCAGTTAAAGGGACACTATAGTCACCAGAACAACTACAGCTTAATGTAGTTGTTCTGGTGAGTATAATCATTATATCATTATATGCACAAATATGCACAAATGACCACTGGAGGTGCTTCCTGAGGCAGTACTGCACAATAGGCAGCACTTCTGTTCAGCGTCTCCATGCTCTGCATGCGCTGGATTTTCCTCAGAGAGATGCATTAATTCAATGCATCTCTATGAGGAGGTGCTCTTTGGCCCTGCCCCCATCCCGCCTCCTTGTTGATTTTAGCCTTGTTGATTTTTCCATAGGGAAAGCATTGGATTGGCTAAAAATCTGCAATTCTGATGATGTCACCAAGAAGAAGGATCAGGGGCGGGGCTACCGTCAGTGGACCTGCACAGCACTGGAAATAAGGTGAGTTTAATCCCTTTTAGGGGGACTAAGGGGGTGGCCAAGCCACCTAAAACGTGGGTTAAACACTATAGGGTCAGGAATATATGTTGTGTTCCTGACAATATAGTGTTCCTTTAAGGTTAATATAATCGTTATAGATAAAGGGACACAGACTCTGTACTTTTTAAATTTCAGAATTCTGTATGGCCCACTTCTTCACATGCTTGGTAAAAGTGAGCAAGAAGGTGAAACAGTAGAGTATCCATCACATATATAAACATAATTTTCAGTTATAATTAAGAAAAAAACAAAAGTATTACAGAAATAGAGCCCCTTTTGCACTAATGGACCATCTTCTAAGAATGATAGGGATACTCTAAGCAATAAAACAACTTTAGCTTAATGAAGCAATTTTGGTGTATAAATAATGCCCCTGCAGTCTGGCAGCTCAATTCTCTGTCATTTAGGAGTTAAATCAATTTTGTTTCTGTCTATGCAGCCTTAGTCACAACTCCCCTAGCAGTGAAAAACACAGCCTACATGAAAAAACACATCACAGTGTGTTTACTTTTTTGAAAGTGTATATTGAAATTTAATCACACACATGATGGTCCTACGGACTTTGAAATTAAACAATGCGCAATTAAGGAAGTTTAATCTTTAGATTTCTCTTTACAGGAAATGTGTAAGGTGACCATGTTGATCTGTGTTGATTTAACTCCCAAATGGCAGAGAAATTGGTATCAGGACTGCAGGGGCATGATATGATATATATACCAAAACCAAGCTAGTTATACGTTAATTAAGTACCGTCACTGTTGCCAACTTGCAAGTGTGACAATTGAAGATTATGCTAGCTTTAGTGTACAGATAATCTTAATTTTAATAATGACAGGAGGCGAGTATTTTGCATAATCTTTCTTTACTAACTCCATAGCACCAAAGAAAAGATTGACATAACTGAGAACCAATCACAATGCAGTATAGAGTATAAGAGGTGTAACGTATGACATAATTTCCTCTTAAAGCATGCAACATCACAAGATCACAATTCAGAATAACAATTGAGATAACTCATAACATGAACATTGAACATAAACAGATAGAATCCAAGGGAAGATTTCTTGATGTCAAGTGACGATCTTCCATGACAAGACGATGATGACATCTTGAATGGAGTCTTTAGTGTCCTGATTCATCTGGTTAAACTGAAACGAGAATATAAAGGGTATTAGATTCCAAATATGGTTGTGTAAAAACAATGAGCTGTCTATCCCTTATGATTAAGTAAACCATCATTATTAAAATAGAGCGAATACGTCCTTGCCATCTATTGATGCTAACTAAACCATCCCACCCACATGGCATATCTGAAGTAAGTGTGAGAAAAGAACCCAACTTAGGCATTAGTACAATAATAACATGGAACAAAAAGATAGAAAAATGCATGAAAACAGAGGGAGGGAAGAGCGAATGAGAGCAGGGAGGGAAAATACTCGCCTCCTGTCATTATTAAAATTAAGATTATCTGTACACTAAAGCTAGCATAATCTTCAATTTTATCACATGACAAGAGGCTTTGTATTTTGCAATTTCAATGCTGAGAAAGTAGAGCAAAAGCTGGATTAGATGGATGACGGAAGTAGAAGGTCCTAAAGGTAGATTCTCTAGTCCAGTCCGCCGCTCGTAAAATATCTGGAAGGGAGGCCCCTGCCGCATAGGCGGAAGAGGCCGCGGCCCCTCGAACTGAGTGTGCTCCAAAAGCCTGGTCTATCCCGGCAAGGGCTAAGAGCCATCTAACCCATCTGGCCAACATAGTGTCTGAGACTGGAGCGTAGGGCGGACGTAAGAGATGAGAAGTTGACGATTGGAAGTAGGCCGCAACGTCGCAGTAGCTTCCACGTATCTACGAAGAGTAGAGACCACACAGAGCTGAGGGTCTGAGGGAAAAAAGGGGTAAAAAACAGAGGAAGAGTCAGATTTCGTGCGCCTAGAGACCTGGAAGGTTACTCCCGCTGGACAAAAGGTAAATGCGTCTGCGTCAAAAGCGCGTACATCGGACACCCGACGAAAGGAGACTAGGCAGAGTAGGAAGGTGAATTTTGCCGTAAGCTGGCAGAGTGATAAATTCTCGTTAGCATGCCAGTCCGGTAAAAACTGTAAGACTATGCCAACGTCCCAAAGTCTTGAGTATTTGGGCTCCGGGGGGAACCGAAGGCGCATGCCGCGGAGGAGTCTGCAGATGAGTGGGTTCTGGCCCACTGGTGTCCCTTGAGTCGGCGTAAGAGCCGCTGAGATGGCTGAACATATTACGTTGATGGACCGGTATGATTTCCCGGCTGTGAACAGAGAGGTGAGGAATTGAGGCCAAACAGGAGACAGGTGAATTGCCAAGGTGTCCCGTGCCAGTAGAAACGGAGATATGAACGGCTCCTTTCGTGCACGGGGATGGTGAGGTATGCGTCCTTTAGATCTAGACGCGTGAACCAGTCGTTGTCTCGCAGTAGGTCCCGGAGAAGGTGGATACCCTCCATTTTGAAGTGGCGGTACACCACGTAGGAATTGAGCTCCTTGAGGTTGATGACGGGTCGGAATTCCCCGGTTTTCTTCCTGACTAGGAAGATATTGCTGTAGAACCCGGTTGAATCCGGAGCTGGTTGGATGGCACCCTTGGAATGTAAGTCCTGAAGTTCAGAGTCTATCAAACAAGCGTCCGCCCGTGAAAATTGAATCGGGCGTGGTGGGGTCTGTTGGAGTGGCATTGTCTCGAATTCTATTTGATAGCGCCACACCGTCCGAAGTGTCAATGTGTCGGAGGATAGGTCTGCCCAATTCTGGAAAAAAAGAGAAACACGACCTGCGATATGGCAAGAGGATAGAGGAAGTATAGAATGGTGACTTACCGTTGGAGAATCTTGCTCTGGAGTGTCCTCGGCCGCCACGGTCCGATCCCCTAAACTGATAGAATCGATGGCGGGCAGATGAATCCGTGCAGAATGGTTGTGTCCTGGTTGTGCGGGGGCCGGACGGCCAGAAGTGGCTGCCGACCAGCCCTCCCAAAAACACCTCGGGTGTTGGGGCCGCGGAATACTTTCCGCATTGACGTTTGTGCCTTATTGAGGGATGTGAATATATTGACCCTCTTATTAAGCTCAGTAAGGAAGGCCTCTCCAAACAGTTTGCCCTGTGCCAAAGGACCCAATTCCTTATCCCCCAGTTCGACAAGCTTGTCGTCAATTCGGAAACATGCTGCTCGGCGCCTCTCCAAAAAGAGGGCCACATTAGTGTTCCCGAGGAAACAGAAGCACCTCTGTGCCCACTCTCGGGTATCCCGTGCCCACTCACGCACCATATCTGGGGTGAAGTCATCAGCCCTTTCATAGGCATCATCTGCCATGTCCATAATCCTCGCTTGTGGCCTGATGGCATCTAGCAGTTTGTCTTGGGCTCCCTTGAAGCCACGTTCCACGCCCTTGCGTGGGTCCCGACCCCCGCGGGACATGAATGTGGTCATAAGCGGGTCGAATTCGGGGGTGTGTGCTACCTTGTCTGGTAGGCTCGGGCGAGGACATTCAGATCTCATACGCTTTCTCACTTCCTTGTCTAGAGACTTCCGGAGCCAGAAGTGCATGAATCTGGTCAAGTGTTTGAGTGGCGTCCATTCTTCCAAACGGGGATGGCGAATGTTCCTAGGATCGAACATTCGGAGGCCAGAGTTGTCCAAAAATATCTCTGAACCCTCTTGTGGGGTGTTCATGGTTGTGGCCACGGAGTCCTGGGGCTCACCCAGGGTCTGTTCCCCTATGAGATAAGGGTCAGACTTGGCAGCAGAGTCCCAGTCGGATTCCTCCTGGTCGGAGGCAGCCGCCTGTCATTCGTCAACCACGGCTAGAGCATGTGATGGACCTTCCCCAGAGGAAGCCTGAGCAGGTTTTTGGGACGATCTGCTCATGTCTCTTCTGCGTTTAGCAGGGGCCTTTGCTTTGGACTTACGTGGTCCCATGGCCTCGCCTTTCCAATGGCACTTAGGGGGGTGGGAGCGTTCCCTGGAGGAATCGGAGTCCTCAGAATCCGCCTCATAATGAGCCCGTTTGGGAATGGGCTTAGATGCATCTTGTTCCAATTGGAACGACTTAGCCAAAGCCTTTTCCATGGACGCAGCTACAGCTGCTGCAATCATGGCCTGGAGATCTGAGGAGTTTTGGGATTCTTCCATGGTGTTAATCACACTCGGGGCTCACCCGGTGAATATATATAGGGCACTTGTGGCACAAAAAAAAAATGGAGAGGCCTGGGGACTGGTAGGTCAAGTGAGGTGATGAGGGCTGTCACTGGGGCTCACCCAGGAATTCGGAATCCTGCATGGACAGGTCCGTTCAGCAGCACATGAATGGGGGCTCACCCCTGCCAGAGTAAGGATAATCCAACTGGCTGAAACCGACCTGTGCAAAGCACTAACCTGATACTGGTCCCACAGTGAGCTGATAAGGATGCAGAGTTCAGGAGTGTATTCCAGAGTATCTGGCAGTAATAATTTGCTGGAGACTGCAACAGGACAGTAGTAGCCATTTAAAATGGCCGCCGGACTGAAGGCAGTAAAAGATGGTGCGGGTGTTCGGCTAATTCGTGCGAACACGAACGCCTAATACAAGGCGTTCGCGGGAATTTTGCCAAACGCTAAGCGTTCGGCAAAAGAAACAAACCTATGCGAATGGACGGTCAGATAGTGCCATTCGCAAAGCGAAAACAACGTGCGAATGACGGTGAAGGCGGGAAAAAAACGCGAAGAGATGTGGCACTGGGAAGTAGAGGCGAAGACAGTGAGAATGCCGGTAAGACCTCTTTTAAAGGGATAGGGCTAGTAAAAGCAGTAGAAAGGTCCCAGAGCTAGGGGGGGGAATAGCCCCCAAAGGTAATAATAATAATAAAGAGATAGTAGATAATAGTTAGATATGACATATAGTAAAGTGTAAGGACAGAGAGGAAAAACCAAGTCTGTACTTATCTTGTGATGGAGCAGCAAAGAAAGAGGAAATGATGTCATACGTTACACCTCTTATACTCTATACTGCATTGTGATTGGTTCTCAGTTATGTCACTCTTTTCTTTGCTGCTATGGAGTTAGTAAAGAAAGATTATACAAAATACGAAGCCTCCTGTCATGTGATAAAATTGAATGATTATCTTCAAGTACAATTTAATACTTAGGTATCCTAGGGTTGTTGTATAAATTTTAGTATATTGGTACTCTTTGGTATGCCTGTAGCGTACCTCATGTATATTGTTTAGTCATGTATATTGTATCTTTGCATTTGTGTGTATTACTTGGTAAATTGTACTTATATATAATTGTATGTTTATGTGCTATCGTGGTGTGCATTAATTTGCATAGAATATATTATAATTCTTTGTACTTATAATAATAATATATTGTAATTTATTACCATGCTTTTTCTTTACAGAGTTTACTTCTAGTTTTTAATTCTGTGCCCAGTGCAAACCAGACTGGCTTTTGATGAAATTTAATAGCATTAACGAGGGCAAGATAACCTGATAAATATTGATATATATTCTATTGGTTTCCATGGTGATTGTTGCTTAATTAGCACTTACTCTAGAATAAGACCTGCTTTTTCCTATATAAACAAAAAACATTACACCAAACAGATGGCCCAAATTACTAGGTTTGTATTAAGCACATGGAGTACAACATAAAAATAGAACATCATAAACGATAGGAACAAAATAATTATAAGAATTTACGTTGGTTCCTTGAAAATGCCTGCAAAAGCTACCGTGAAAATAGTTTAAATGGATATGATAGATATTCATATCATATGGTGTCTTTTCAACGGACAGGACAGTTAGAGATATAGGACAGAGAGGACAGTTAAATAATATGGAATAAATATACAGGACACATTCGAGCTGAAAATCAACAAAATAAGACTTTCAATAATTAGTAAGACCGAACTACCAGAAAGCTAAAAAGGTTTATTCATTGTTCCAGGAGTGTGGAGAACTGGCAGGTATAGCAAATCATAGGTGGAACATGAAAAATACAGAAACTAGTCTATTATGCTATTTTAACCATCTAGTTAAAAATCTGAAAACCCATTGTTAATATTGCCAAATTCTCAGTTTTGTGTCACAATTTGTAACTGGCCTCAGTTGCTAATTGATAAATCCCATTGGTAATGTAGACAGTGGCCAAATAATTCTCCTCTATCTTCACTTGCCCTCCATAAAAGGAAAACCATTTTTGAACATTTTCACTTCTTACTTTAAGTCTGCCGGGCACTGCTCCGCACCTCCTCTACCAACGGCAGAGAACCAGAAGTTCCTTTTCCTGCAGCTTTAAGGTACGTATTGAAGCTTGGAAGGTACCCCACCAGATTTATTCTACCTTTGTTATCATATTTTTATTGTTTAGGATGTCTTACCATTTATACCTGTAGTTTACCACTGTAATTTTCGGTGAATGTAGTTTTTCATTCTTATTGTCAATTCATTTATTTCACCAGTACTTCATGGACATATAGTTAGTAATATTTTGGCTGATAGATTTTTGTTGGCAAACTTTTCAATTGTATTCAACAGATGTTTGGTTTACCACCCCACCCCATCCCTTGCCCCTCCTAGTCTTATCATTATATCTGTTCTTCAGGCCTCAGTCCAGAAACTTAATTTCCACTAAGCTGGTTCCTACAAAATGTATGTGTCATCTACACCCAATTGTGATTAAATTAAATTAAATTATTTTTTTACATTTTCCCTGCAGAAACGTTTGCAAATGTATAAATTTTAATGCAAAGAGTGTATGACTCTAGCCCCTCCACTACCATTTAATTAGCTCTCAGCCTCGAAGTCTATGCCAAGGATACCAATCAATACTAGGAATGTTTTTTTCGGGTGCGGTATGTAGGAGTACGGGCAATAAAAAGAGGCACATAAAAAAATTCAAAAACACAAAAAATTATGAAGAATTTTATATAAAAAGCCTGATTACTTGCCATTCAACAAATGTAATCTATTTGTTGGAATGTCCATGCGGCCTAAAATATGTAGGCCACACAAAACATATAAGGATAGAGGAACACATACGAAACATTAAGAAGGGATATGAGGGTCACAGTGTATCAAATCATTTTAAGATCATGCATAGGAGTAACCCTAAGGGACTGCTCTTCATCGGTATACAAAAAGTTTTAGGAAATTGGAGAGGGGGTGATTTTAATAGAACTTTAGGACAATATGAAATGAGGTGGATGTTTAACCTTGGAACTCAATGGTTTAAACATTTATTTTGAATTATGCCATTTTATTTAACCCAATAGGCACCTCCAAATACTTTCCATTAGTTATTACACATTTTTTTTATTCAATTATTTATTGCTTTTTCCAAATTGACTATCTTCTATATTTTAAGATTTTTTATGTATATTTTAACACTGTTAAGGTTGGAAAAATGGATATGCTACATTATAACCGCTTGTTTTTATTCTATTTTTTTCCTCTCTCTATCCCTCATGGGTTCCAAAATGGTAACTTTGCATGGAGTGCTATTTGTGCAAAGTTGTCCCTTATCCCTTTTTTCCCTTTCTATGCCCATCCCTAAGATGGAGTCTTTGTAATATAGACATAATTAGGAGGAGTTCGGGTTGACACACAGTATGAAACTGTGATATTATTACGGCCACCCCCCTGTATTAGCCTAATACTGTCCCCCTGTATTCCTATAGACGTCCCCATTAAATCACCAATTGCTGCATTTTTTATTTCTCCGATGTACTATATTTTATTTTTTATTTTTTAGTATCAACAAACTGGCAATACAATTCATTTTGACTTATTAATGTTTAAGGACAATTCTGACGAACGAGATAGCCCATTACATCATTTCCGGTAACCGAGGACCTGATAGGAAGATCCACTGAGGTTACACTAATTAAAGTGTTTCCCATTAATTTTTATCCCAAGGCTCACTTCCCCTGAATATGAGTTTCGATTGATCGCAACCTATGGGGGTGTGTTAATCCGACGCACAGTTTCCTGTGACGTCGGTGAAACCACTCCCCCTACCGGCGCCTGGATTCTCCCATGTTCTTAAGTAGAGAAGGTTAAGACGAGCGGAGCATTATGCAGCGTCGCTTCCGTTTTAGTAGGGAACGACATGCCCGACTAAGCACACATTACTTGAATGCATGGAATTCTCCCATACTGGCGATGGATGGCGGAAGTGTCGGGCGGAACTACCCGTGCCGTACACTTCCGCCAACCACTGACCTCATTGGATGTCTTATAACGTGTCACCACTAAATTACCAATGTATTTTATTCAATTAAGTGTTTCTAAGGATTGACAGCATTATTATCGCATGAGGTGTTTTCTTTGTACATAATAAAGAGAAGAAATTTGACTTTGTGATTGGTCAACCACATATCATGTGACCCCAAAAGGAGGACCCATATGGACTCTCAAACATTTAAAAAGTAGAAGATTCCTGAGGCTACCACACAGGTACTGAGGAAGCTCATAGAAGAGTGAAATGCGTTTAGCTGATTTTGGACCTTTTTATTTGGACTTTTTTATTTTCTAGATCCAGTATTATTTCTGTTTTAACTTATTGGTAATAAATTACTTTTAATACTTCATATTTTAGTCCAACAAGTCCTTCCAAGCCATCAGGAACCTCACTTGGGGAGTGCTATCCCAATAAAATAAGCACATTGTCCATCAACCTCAGAGCCAGGAATCCAGGGCTCTGTTAAAGGTGAGTACAACCATTACCAACTATACTATATTTATACTTCATACAATTCTACACAGCCAACCGGCTGTATATCTCTGGAGGAATATCGCTTGGGACAAAGGGGTGTGCTTGCTGCCCAAAAAGCATAAAGGATCTATTTACGGAGCCAATACCACATAGGCTCCAGTCCATGTGAGTGGTTTCAGTCATTTATTACCATCACTTATTTCTATTTGGGAACCATCTGTACTCTATTTTTGTTTCTGTTTCCTTTTGTATGTACATTCTGAAAGGTAAATCTGCTACTCTGGTGACTCGGTCCCTCTGGTCACTATTCTCCAACCCTCGATTGTCAGCTGAATATTCAGGGAAGATTTTTATAGAAGTGTATTAACCAGACACACACTCTTTGCTTTCCATAATCTTCTAATCGTTTATTCAAAATTCGCTATATTTATACTATACTTGTCACAAATATTGGTTACAAAAGGTTACAAAAAGTAGTTTCTGCTGTTACATTCAATAATCTAATCTTACAAAATATCACATATACATTGTGGTTAGGCATTTCCTGATACATAGAAACTGTCATAGCTTGTGACTTCCTTTCAGTTATGTTTTGCAAGCAGTTCTGAAAAGAGCTTGCTACTACATTTACAAAATAATTCATTTCTACAATACTAACAGATTAACTGTCTCAATTCCTTCATTTTCCCCTCTTTGAGCAATATCTTGCTCATACCCTATTTAAGGAGTCCTGGTCAGACAACCAGCCATCTGCCATGGTATATTCAGGATTGCTAGCCAATCCTGCAGGTCTTTCATTATGTCTTCGGCCACTATTCCCATAGCATAGGACTAGGCATCTGGCCAGTACCACAAACTTATAGATCTGTATCAGCATGTTCACCATTGCTTCGGTTATGTGTATACATTTGGAGATACTCATCATAGCAAGCTGGGGATTTTACAGGAACAGTGTTGCGTGTATGTTTGTAAATGCAGAATACAATAATCTTGAAAATAGCATAAACAAGTAGAGCAAGGATCAGAACCATAACAATAAGTATTGCAATATTCTTTAGCCAGTCTAGGATACTGTCAAACTTAAACATATCTGCCCATGGGTGATCAATACCTAAATTCCTCTTCATTTCTATGGACAGGTCTTCCAATTTCTTTATAGCTAGGGTTACTTTACCATTAGGGCCAGTGTTCTCTGGAATATAGGTACAACAAACACCGGAGTCAAGTAATTTACAGACTCCTCCCTTTTCTGCTAAAATCATATCAAGGGCCATTCTATTCTGGAAAGTCATTTGTGAGGTAGCCTGTAATTGTTCAGCAAGACCTTGTAATGCATCTCGTGTATAATTTACAAATCTTTGCTGATTATAATATATATAATTAATCCAGTTAACATTCTTGTTAGCTGTTATAATGGGAAATATTGATTCAAATCCTGCTGCCACCTCGTCTCTAGCTTTAAATTCATTAGGGACCCCTCTTGGAATACCAGTGGCATCTAGATAGATATTTGGGTCGAAACTACCTTGTGGGGATTCCCTTTTCCTTCTTGTGGAATCAGTTACAACCTTAATTTCAGGGAGAGAGTCGCCAAATATATGGAGGGGCATGATTATTTTGGCTGGGGCACATTCTCCTCTCCAGGGGGTGGGGAGTCTAGAACGTATTTTCATATCTCCACATATTCAATAAACATCTCCCACAGATTGTGTTTGATTCACTAAGGTAATATTACTGTAGGCGGAGCAGAATCCTGAAGAAAAGTTATCAAATGATTTACCCACCTTACCATTATTATTTCCCTGAAAACAAGTATAATTACCAGGGTATACTGAGACAACATCATTTAATTTAAACTTGGGTTCACCAATAGGGTGACCCTTTTTCCATTCTTCACATCCTGTAGTATTAACAGTGATACCTGAAAACAAACTTAGGAAACATTCCCAGTACTCATCAGGGACATGTAAAGGTACAGTTCCTAGATGAGGTCTGGCACTACCACATACATAACAGTTTGACCTATTGTTGGAATGGGCATTATATCTCATCCATTCCAGCCAAAAGTTTGTATCTGTATACCCTGTTTCTAACGCTATGGTATCTCCAAACGTGGGATCTGCTATGGCCATCATATCACCAAGGGTTTGAATGTGGGGCTTTAGAGGATTAACAAGAGTTTATCTAGAGGTGAGGCTTTCCCATTTTGAGGAGTTCCATATATCTTTTAACTGGATTTTTTCTCGATTACCTCCAATACCTCCTCTTAAAAAGGTACTGAGAATATAGGTACCTTGATCTCCAGGACTGGGGTTTTCAATATTTAAGGTAAATTTCATGGAGTGCCAAGTTTGCCCTATAGGGGTACATGTACCTGGCTTTGTTAGGGTCATTCTAGTCAAGAGGGACTTCCCATTCTTATCCTTTATCTAATGCATTCTGTGGCTTATAACCCCAATCTGTCCCGGTGTTCCATCCAACTGAGCCCCAATAATCACAATTGTTACCCCTCTTTGAGCAATATATATTGCTCATATCATCGGTTAACATTCTCCCAAGACAGAGAAATTTCCACATTATGGCATTCCCAAGCAATCATGTGGTCTACAAGAAACAGAAACTCAGCAGAAAAAAACACTTAATACTTTTGCAGACAAATATATAGAAAATGGATGTTTAAGACAGAATGGAACTTGGGCTTATAGCAACTATATTATTGCACAACCAGGACCTTGCGTCCTATATCTTTTAACCATTTCCCTATTCCAAAAGTCCAGTCAAAACCAGTCATATCCTCACGCAGTTCCTCAAAACATGGGAATCCATCCTTGGCACACTCAACATATATCAAAAACACACATAGTACAGCTAACTCTGGGTCAGCTAACACTTCCTCTCTCTCTGGCTAACTCTACAAAAATAAAAATAGTTCAATAGTTCAGCATAGTTCAGAAAAATAGAATAAGTCTTTCACAGAGTATAAAGAAATCAGTTTAGACACCAGACATTTTGTTCCATAAAATGGCTAAGGGTAGCAATATGGCTGACAACAAGACAATGTCAGCTTCCACATAGTTCTTCTTTTGTTTGCTGGATTTTCACCACAAAGCTCTGTGCAACACCCCAATGGTTGAAAGGGTTATTACAGAACCAGCGGTATTAGACAGCACTGCACCTTCAGGACTTTCCAGGTTCTTACGTGCAAAGTTTATGTCCTCATGAGTAAGTATCTCAGTTTCTTCGGCCTGCATGGATAATGACCAAACAGATGTAATTGCAAAATACTTATTGCATGGTCAGCCAGAGAGATTGGTGTATAGTCCCAGAAATCAGGTGGCACAAACACTCCAGGACAGTCTCTACAATCATACAAACACAAGGATCAATACAACATTAATTAATTAATTACCTAGGCTAAAACTAAAATTAGAGATTAAGGTTAAACCCTTAATTTGTGTAACATGTACTTCTCTTATATTTGCTTATATTTTATGCAATCTGTCTTCTATCAAGTTTTACATAATACCCCTTTGGAATGCCTTTGTACGGATGAGAGTAGCACTCACTCTATAGAAATCCTTGTTAGGATGAATATTAAAACACTAACATATACATATGGGGATAATTCTCAATAAAACTCTGTTCCTAAACTGGAACCTTGATTTGATATTCAAAATTAATTACTTTAATAATCCCGAATAATTCAATACTCTTGGATTAACACCTAAAACTATATAAAATATTACAAATATGAACCATCTGTGTATTAGGCTGGGGCTGTTGGGTGTGGGTATAGATTGGAAGCTGTGGTTGATATTGAGGAATCTGTGGGGGTGGGTTTGGGCACTCATTTTTTCAGTGACCCTGCTATCCACAATTGCTGTATCTTCCCCAAAAAATCATTTGGGGTCAAAAAGGGTCAGTCACAGACCAACAAGGAACAAAAGTGAACAAGGAGGAAGCATATTCCATATGCAGGTCGGGATTACCTAACTCACAACCCCTCTTTATGTACCCCTTTTTGTACCACACAGATATAATATTAATAAGCTTTTAAAGGTTTTATATAAAGCAAGGTTGTCTAGGGGTATATACATCGACAATGAAAACATAGCCTTCATATAGGGCTTGCAATACTGACAGTCTGTGTCATGAGCGTAATGCAGACATGCGGTTAGGTACTTTTCATTATTATAATATATTGAAAAGACCTTGCAAATTTTTAAAACGCATATTGCTTCTTGTACCTGGTGCCGTGCAAGGATGTAGTTGGGACATATTTCAAATTGAGTATCAAAAGTCTAACCACAAAACTAAATGTTATACGCTTATCAAGAAAACAAGTTTAACCCGTTAGTGTGTACTTTGGATAGCCTCTTTGCATAATTTGGCACCTAGTGAGATTATTATATTATTTATTAATCCTCTTCTGGATCTGCAAAATGCTTTCAATTTACCCATACAAATATAATACAGTAGTTTAGGAGATTAAAATTACCTCACTTATAAATTTCAAAAATTGTCTAATCTCTATTAAAAATACCATTTTATTATTACCCCATAATCAATGAGGCATACTAGATGAATCTTACTTTGACACAAACAATGCAATATACTTTAAAAGTAGAGTTAACTCTGAGCTGGACAATACTCCCCTATTAGAACTCCTTTATGATGGAGAGACATCTTGTCCATTCAATCCTTTTTATCAGTAAAATAATGACTTTCAGGATTAATCAATTTGCAAATGGAAATGTGGAGCCACGATTTGAACAGCAGAAGTTTGCAGGGCCCCTTTCACGTGGGATGTAACAAGCGCTTTTCTTGCTCCAGGAGCGATAGCATACAATTGTTTCATTCTAGCCGGCTGGACAGCATTTCACCTTTTGTAAAAACACTAAATGCTTGCGTTAATGATATGCAAATCACTTTGATACTTAAACTCCTACACAATGGATAATAAAATACATGAAACACATAACACACCAATTCATTTCAAACCATATAACTCATTCTCAGCATCCGATGTAATATTACATGTCATCTCACAAAACAGACATCCCACAAAACAGACGTATCAGAAAACACATAATGGATCCCAGCAGATATGCCAATACAGAAAACACATTCATGGGCACACAACTACACACTCTGTGTCCCTCCTAGGAAACATGGGTAGACACAATATGAAAGCAGTCTTAAACTAACACCTCCAAATCTCCATTCCCATATAGCTTTATCAGAACACAACACAGAGCCTCTCTAAGCTCATAGAACTACTCCAACTACTCTTGGCCAAAACACTAGTATTCAACAGCTAATAAAACCATTATTTGCTAGGTTATTTGCTTGGTGTCAGTAAGTGGGATTGTAGCCAAACCATTTTGGGTGAGTAGTAATTCCTTGTGTCTATCTTGACACCCTGAATCTATGAACCCCATGGTTTTGTAAGTCTACATCATTTTAGGAAAGGTTATTTAGTATATGTGTTTTATGTGACAGTTTTACATATGTGACAGTTTTACATAAGGTCCCGTTAAATTAGTCTAGTAAGGGGACTAGACAGAGAGATATATGTATTTCTAGTAAGTGAACTAGAGAAGGTCTAATAAGAGAATTAGACAGATAAAAGGAAGTCTATAAAGTGATATAGACAGAAAACTTAGTATATAAGTGAATAAGTGTTTGAAAGATTTGCCCTAGGAATGGGAAATTACCATGCAAGAATATGAAGTAGTTAACTTTTCTTGTTCATATGTATTTTATGCTTAAATAAGGCTTATAATCATTAGTGCTGACTGTAAGGATATGAAATAGTTAAACTCTTTTTGCTTTATATGCTAGCCCTGAAAATATACTCACTGAGAATCTTGTTAAAGCACATTTGTAGTGTCCATGTCTTTACTGCAAACAATGATTCTCCATCAATTGGGTGATTGTCTATATTGGGGACACACTTTGGTAAGTTAGTAGTGTGTCCACCCTGAGTCAGCAGTATGGGAAATGTGAGTTCAGGTCCTGAGTGACCAATATATATACATATACATATATATATATACATAGGCGTGCGCAGCCTATTGCATTAGGGTGTGCACCCTAAAGCACAAACACACGCCGCGTGTGTGTGTGTGTGTATATATATGTATTTATATATATATACACAGACACACACACTCACAGACACTCACACTCACAGACACACACACACTGACACACACATACTCACACACTCACAGACACACACACACACTCACTGACACACACATACTGACACATACTCACACACTCACAGACACATACTTACACACTCACAGACACACACTCACAGACACACTGACACACACTGACACAGACATATACTCACACACTCACAGACACACACTGACACACACACACACACTCACACACTATTGGTATACCTTACAATAATATGTTCTGAGTACAGCTGTTAACTGTTTATTCAGTGTAAATGGTGACTGTGATAATGTGTGAAGTGTGCAGCTTAACTGGAAAGTGGTTTAATTTATATGTTGCTGTGTTGTTTTAAATTATATTTGAATCAGTTTGTCTCAGTCTAGTGATACTGATAAAAATGCCAGTCAAATAACCTAGAACATTCAAGCATATACGTTCAAGACTGTCACTGTACTGAAGGGGTAAGTGTACCCCTTTTTACTCATATTGTAACAGCGCTCCACTTGTTGGTATATATTTTATACCACTTTTTCTTGTGTATGCCAAGGATTGAGTTACTGATGAGAGTCAGCAGGTGTCCTCAAATAGGGCCTATTGTGGGGAATGAGCAAAGAATGATTGTGAGTGGGTGCTAAACCACCAACAGAATGCTGATTATGAAAATGGAATTGTGATGCTATTCTGACATATTTTAGTTCAAAGAATACAAAAAGAGATCAGGCTTAAAGGATATCTTAAAATGCAATATTTAATAGAAGCAAGCTGCCATGAAAATGTTTCGGCCACCACCAGTCATGGCTTGACTTAACAAAGGCCACTGGCTGAAATGTTGTTATGGAGGCTTGCATCTGTAAAGGTCCAGCACTTTAAGATATTCTTAAGGCTGATCTATTTTTGCATTCATTGGAAAGTTGGTGGAGGTTTGGCTAGCTATGGAAGTTCCAACTGACTACTTTTAGTTAATGCTGTGACATGAGTGCAGTCCCCCTTCTGGTTTATATCATTCAGTTCAAGACAAAAAAAGGTATAGTAGGCTTCAATACTTCATTTTGGAAGAAGCAGGAAAAGAATGTGGAACCAGGGTAACATGGTAGGTATTCTGTTCCATTTAGGGTTTTTAGAATCCACAGAAGAAAATGTCAGCTTTTGCTCCCACTTATTTTTTCATAGTGGCTCCTGTCCCCGTGAGCCTCCACCCATATATGCTATTCAGCTTTATAGTAAACCACTCATTTATTTAAGCAAACTGCATGCCAGACCTATTTGTCAGTCCAATTATAGATCACCAAAACCGAGTCCACAGTTCTGCTAAGATTGGAATGCATTAGTTACTGAAAAAATGTCAAAACACTGAGACATATGTTTTCAAAAGGAAGAGATTTATATTTCTCAAATATTTAACAAGTGCACATGGCATATTTTGGGCTGCGGATGCAGCTTGGTTTTGTTTTCCTTTTTGCAGTGCAGACAGCTCCATGCTGTTATGGAACGTCCCCTTCCTAGTGTCCTTCCACAGCAGAGCTCTGCCGTGGCTTCCCATTTCAGCCTTATGTACACAAATCCACATCTATCTTCCGTCCTCTTTCATTGCTTCTCAATTCTTAATTAAAATATATCCCATATTTTCGCTGGTGTTCATTTTTCCAAGTGCCTTGTACAGATTCTTGGGATGTTAACAGTAAATTCCTAAAATAGTTTTCATTTTGGTTTCATCATTCTTCCTTACATAGAAGCAGAGATTGTGACTTTAGATATGAACCAACCGACCCATTTATTTTACCCCTTAATGACATTTCATTACTTTACTGTAGTAAATCCACCTTCTACTGGAAAGTGAATATACTGTATATATAAGTACTGCCCTCTTAATAATTCACAGAGAAATGTACACTTTTTGACAGTTTTTAAGAATGTCCTAGAATCTGTTATTTCCATAGTTAATGATAATGATATTAATTTCATTAGTTTGAAAGGATAAAAGGTTGAGTTGATCTTGTTAGGAACTGTGATTAAAGCTGCATGTTTCCTTACTACTAAGCTACCTCTGTACCTGTTGCCTGCTTTGTCATGCTATGGTCTAATTATAGAGAATCTTGCAAAAAGCCTAGAATTACTACCTTTCATGGTAAATGTATATGGTCAGATATTGGTCAGGAAGCTGAATATTGCAGAAAACTTGGCACTTTAAACTCCATCCATTTCAGTTTCATTAAACGGTCTCTCAAGCAGCAGAATTTTGGAGAACAATCGTATTCTTGATTTATCAAACTCAAACTCTACTGTCAAGTATTGAATTAGTTAAAGGAACACTCCAAACACCAGAACCACTACCGCATGCTGGAGTGCCCTAGAGCCCTTCCAATGTAAGTAGTTGACTTCTTACCTGGCATTCACCGTGTGCTGCTTCCCATCTGGTCTAACAGCTAGAATCTTCTAACAGGCCTTCCTGTCAAACTCTCCTGAGCCAAATACTACTGTGCAGGGCCAGATCATTGATCATCAGATCTCTCTTGACCACTGTCAAGCTTACGGCTTTCTAAGAGGTGGGGAGCGGAGCCTGTGGGATCCCAGGTAAGAGATCAAATCATTATAAAGTGGTTTGATTACTTATATTAGGCGGGCTCCAGACCACTCCTGGCACCATAACAACTACAGGGGTATTGACATAGTGATTATTTGGGCAGGGTAAGTCCTATCATCATGGCTCTAATGAAGAAATAGGGTCAGAGGGTGCCACCTCCTGTACCCTTTGAGTAAATATTAACCTCCAGAGTGGCTAGGGTCCCCCAAGCCCCTAATCCAGTGGCAGACTAAGGGGGGGCGGAGGGGGCGATCCGCCCCGGGTGCCAGCAGGTAAGGGGGTGCCATAACCCAGGTCTGAGAGCTAAAGGGGGACGTGTGAGCTGTGCCCCATGGCAGCTGGGGTGTCGCACAGCTCACTGGCAGAGACAAACAAGCTGAAGTGGCCGCACTATGCTGCACTAGGCCGCGGGGCTATGATCGTTTGGGGCAGGGCCAATCCGAAAGCAGGGGCGGGGCTTAACACAGCCCTTACCTGGTGCTGTTACTGCTGCACATGGAGGTGCAGCAAGAAGAAATACCTGCTCCTCCACCTAACAGGCTCCAGGGAAGGACTTCAAGGAATCCACTCTTCCTCCAGCCCACACTGTCTGTAAGTAAGTAAGAGAGTGTATGTGTGTGTGTGTGTGTAACTGTCTGCCTGTAATTGTGTGTGTGTGTGTGTGTGTAACTGCCCGTAACTGTGTGTGTGTAACTGTGTGTATGTGTGTGTAACTGTTGTCTGTAACTGTGTATGTGTGTGTAACTGTTGTCTGTAACTGTTTGTGTGACTGTCTGCCTGTAACTGTGTGTATCTGTGTGTAACTGTTGTCTGTAACTGTGTGTGTGTGACTGTGTGCCTGTAACTGTGTATGTATGTAACTGCCTGTAACTGTGTGTGTGTGTAAATGTGTGTATGTGTGTGTAACTGTTGTCTGTAACTGTGTGCGTGTGTGTGTGTGACTGTCTGCCTGTAACTGTGTATATGTGTGTAACTGTCTGCCTGTAACAGTGTGTGTGTAACTGTCTGTCTGTAACTGTGTATGTGTGTTTAACTATCTGCCTGTAACAGTGTGTGTGTAACTGTCTGCCTGTAACTGTAATTGTGTGTGTGTGTGTGTAACTGCCTGTAACTGTGTGTGTAACTGTGTGTATGTGTGTGTAACTGTTGTCTGTAACTGTGTGTGTGTGTGTGACTGTCTGCCTGTAACTGTGCATATGTGTGTAACTGTCTGCCTGTAACAGTGTGTTTGTAACTGTCTGCCTGTAACTGTGTATTTGTGTGTAACTGTCTGCCTGT